TGATTTTTATTCTAATTAGTATTTTTATTTTTTTGGGTAGAAAATTTAGAGTTTTTGTAACTATTCTCTTCAAATTCTATCATTTTTTGTTAGCCTCCGATCTCTCTTTCTACATTGTTTTTATTTTATATTTGAATTAGCATTTTTTATAGAAAATATAGAGTCTTTTAGTTTGTAAAATAAATATATTTTTCACTTTTAAGTTAATATTTATAGAAACCCAAAACAATGTATAAAAATAAATTCATAAAAATAATACCATGTGAGAGACCAAAAAAGTTTGAAGCCCATTAAAAATATAAAAAATGATGATGTGGACACCTTAGATAGAGAGAGACTTGACTAATTATATATGTGATTTTAAATGTAAAGTGTATAGTGTTTTTTTAGTTTTTAAATCAAACGCAGTCGAGGTATAAGTCTTTGTAAACTAAATAATATATTTACTTTTGAAACTCATATAACCACATCTTTAGATGGTTAATCATAGTCAATACCACTATTTTAGAAATCAGAAATTTTTAAAAACTCTATCTCAAACTAATTTCTGTTATATATTTTATTTTTTGTTACTTACATTTTTTATCGTAAATTTTTATTTTACTTTTAATTTATACAATTTTGGAATGTTTGATATAAATAAATATATCTATATATTTTTTAAAAATATATTTTAATTAAGCTCTTTTGTTGTTAATTTTCCAAATAGGTAGCATATATATTAATTTAATTTATCTTACATGAATATTTTTTCTTTGTTAAAATTTTTTATATTAATTTTTATTTTAATTATAATACTGATTTGACATATTATAACTGGTTAATCTAAATTTTATGTAAACTTTTCTCAAAAGCGTATGGCATGATTTGCTTTTTCTTAGTTAATTTTTTTTATGTTGATTTTCCAACATTAGCCTAAATATCAAGAAAATTTTATTTTATAAAAAATATTTTGATATTCATTTTCATTTTTAATTTTATTGACATGTTGTAAGAAATAATTTCTATTTTGTTTTCTGTTAGTTAAACTTTTGATATTGTTTCTTCGGTAATTAACATAAATCATCATTCTTTTGGTTAGTTAAGCTTTTGTGTTGATTTTTCAAATTATGCCAAATATCAAGTTTTAGATAACTTGTTCTTTTGTTAATTTAATGTGAATGTTTTTTTTGTACTGTTGATAGTTTTAAATAATAATTTTATATGTTATATAACAATTTTACCTTAATATTTTTGCCTTAATATTTTGATAAAATCACATCTTTATTTAATATTTTAACTTTAATATTTTTGCTAAATTTAATTAATTTACTCATTTAAAATATAGAGTGAGTTAGATCAAAATACATAAAAGATCAGTTAATTAAAGGGAAAATATAGTAGATAGCCTGAATTAATACTGAAATTGGAAAAGTGGAACTAATAATCAAAAACTAGGTTGATACATATTATACATAGAAATTATGACTATTTTGCCCTTTTAATTATTTGATACGGTTTGAATGGATAACAATTCGATTATCATGCTAACTAATATGATATTGTGATAATTATGTTAACTATGATAACCAATATGATGCTTGATTAGCAAATTGAAATAATAGCACGTTAACACAATAGTTATCATGTTAATTGTGTTACTATGTTAACTAATATGATGCTCGATTAGCATATTGTACAAAAATCGAGTTAACATGATAACTATTGTGTTAACGTTGCTATTATTTCATGAAAAACATGAGTTAATTTTGTCAACTGTATAAGTTATGCAAAATTATCATGTTAACAATGTTATCATAGCAACAAATTATCATACTAACATTGTGAGCATGATAACTATCGTGATAACTATTGTGTTAACTATCGTGTCACCACCAGCACCATTTATACCCACCACCACCACCATCGACACTATCACCACCATCGCGATCGCTGACACCACCACCATCGCCATCATCGGCACCACCACCACCACCACCAGCATCGCCATCACTTCCACCACCGGCGACTCCATCACCACCACTGACCATCACCAACACCACCCCATCATCGACCATCGCCACCACCACCACCACCACCGCCGGCGACTCCATCATCACCACCGACCACCACCCCCGTTGAGAAAAACACCACTATCACCAATAACTATCACCATTGCAACCATCGATAACACCACCATCACCATTGCTGTTTTTTGTGATTATTCCTACCCACCACAATCACCATCGTCAATTTCGAAATTTATATAGGCAGAGACACACAAATAAATTCGTAAAGAAATTGAAGACATATAAGAAAGAAATCTTATGTGAAGGAATGAAAAAAACTGATAACAATGGAGAGAGAAGAAGACGCAATTTTTTTGGATTTCGTTGGATTGATTTTAAGAGATAAGTAATGAGGTGTTTTATGTCTTTTTGTAATGAATAGTACTGAAGAAAGAGATGAAGTATCAGTCAGTTAATTGTCAGATTATTAAAGGCCATTCAGTATAATTTTTCTTAATTAAATGTATGAATGTAATTATTTCATATTTAAATCTCTCACCACAGAAGTTGTATAAATGGACGAACTTACCCCTACTAAAATATGAGTTATTATGTGTTGGAAGAGTGAGAGATATGTCTATGGCGAGTAGAAGCGTCTGAGTTACGGGTTATCAACTGGGTTATTTCATGGTTTAACGATAATATAATTGTTAGACAGGAGTCGAAATAAGAGATAGAGTGAGTTAAGAAAGACCGACACCGATAACCCGTTTGTTAAAGTGTATAACCCAATTAATGTGATGAAAGTGTCTAAACATTGGAAGAATATGTATTAAATGAACTTACTGGTGGATAGCGTTAACATGTATTAGTGTGAGTTAACAAGGACCTAAGTCGATGACCCATTCATTAGTATATAACCCAACTATTAGTGTATAACCCAACTGATACGATGGGAGTGTTTAAACATTGCAAGAATATATATTAAGTGAAGTTAGTGCTCTAAAAGATGAGTTGGACTGTATAACAGTAGCGTTAACATGTTTTAGTGTGAGTTAACAAGGATCAAAACCAATAACCATTCTTTAAAGTATATATCCCAAGTGTTATGATGTGTTATTATAGTGTTAACATGTTAATTTAACTTTTTGTTATTGATTTACATATTTATTTTTTGTTAGTTCAGCTTTTGTGATATTAAGTTTCTATTTTATTTTGACAAACGCTATAAATTTAGATTTTTGACTTAATTTTATTTTATCTGTTTTGTTAGTTAAAAAATTTCAATTTTAATTTTCCATTCTGTTATGATAATTTTTTTATTTTTGTATGTTTTAATATGTTTATATTAATCATGTTTAACATTTTTGTATTTAATAAAAAATACTAATATGGATCAATTCGTTCTATGAAGATGCTCTCAATGACTTAAAGCTTTGACTTGTATATAGTATAGATGTTGAAGATAAACAAATAGAACCTTTTTTTTTAAGTTCCCTCTTCTTTCCAACATCATATTTGTGTATACAGATATCTTTAGTTTTTTTCTTGCACACATACGAGCTAAAATTATTAAATATATCAAAATAATATCCAATTACATTCTGGTATCAATATTATTGTAATATTTTCATAGTCTTCTTAACCAAAGATATCTTCTCGGACGGAGATCAATAACATCTATAAAAAAATAATCAACGATGTTCCATCCATAATGTTTTACTTTTAAGATTATATATGTTGAAAAGGTTCTTTTACTAATACGCATATAGATTATTATAAACCAACAATCCATAACCTTTTATCCATAATTCATCATTAATATGAATGATGCCGTCATCATCTACTTTACCAGATCTGAATTCATTCTCTTGATTATTGGTAACGACGCCGACAAAATCGTATCATATCAGTAATGTCCAAATGGGATCTGAATTTACCATCTTCTTCGCTATATCTGAATTCGTTTGTTTGTGTTTCAGTCCAACTGCTAATCCCATCTGTGCATTAAAAAAAAAAACTGATTCCGATGAAAAACAAGCTTCAAACCTCTGTTATTTGTTTTTTTAATTATTCTGGTGAAATTAAAATGCCACTAACAGTTATCGTGTGTTAAAATATACTGGTGAATCAGATCTGGCAAAAAAAATGAGTTAAGTTGGAATGTTTAAATCTCTGATTTTTAATTATTTCGGTCACATAACTGCACCACCGATTACCACCTTGTGTAAAAAAATTAAATAATTATCATTACAAATAAAGATAAAATAGTCAATAAAATATACAAAAATTTTGCTAATTAAAAAAATCTGCAAAATAATACAAATAAATTATGCAGAATCGTGAAAATACTTATAAAAATATTAAAAAAACTTTAATTAAATGGAAAAGTATATTTTAAATAGACTATTTACGGAATCAATATTTTATATCAGTTATATAATTAATTATATTTTATTATTTAAATCAATTAGTTATATCATTTGTTGGACTTTTTTTTCTCTTCGTCTTCGTTGTGTTTTGAAGTTATGTTATATTTGACGAGAAAGTCAAAACTTTCAAAATCTTTGGCTCGCACTGTGTAAAATGAGTTTTGCGATCAACAACGAGGTATTTATCGAACTGCTCTTTACTGAATTTCTCAGAGTTCTTTCAGTTAGTTAATTATTTTTCTAAAACCCCAAAGTTTATAAATTTTGGTGCTTAAATTACATACCATTCCTTAAGTCTATACAAATATCGAACTGCTAAAACATTTACTTGATTCGGTTTTTAGCTTCTGGGTTTAACTAATTCTAGAGTTAACTGTTTCTCTCTGTTTTATAATTATTCTTTTCTGAAACATATGTATATGTAACCACACCAATTCATTCTGCAATTTATTGAAAATGGTAAAAAGATTTTATAAAGAAAACCCTCACAAATAATTCTTTAATATTCACACAAAAAAAACAATCAAAATAATCAACAAACCCAAAAACAAAAAACAATTATAAAGACTCTGTTTTTTTCTCATTTTGGTGATGAAGGCTTTGTAGTCTGAGAAGATTTTCCAGTGAGAGCTTTCTTCACCTTTGAAATTGAATGCTTTACCTTTGAACCAACGCCAGAGAGAATGCCTTGTGATTTCTTATGTTGAGTTTTGGTAATGCTTACTGTATCTTTAGCTTCAACCATCACAATAGAATCTGGACTCGTTTTATCATCTTTGTGTTCATCTCCATCATCATCTTCTTCCTCTGTTTTGGGATCTTCTTCGATGATACGAGGTTCTGCTGTTGCATCTTCAATCTTGTTTGTTCCTTTCACTTTTTGTATGAGGTCTGATAGAGATTTCCTTGCTGGTTCTTTGTCGTTCTCAGATTCTCCATCTTTTTGCTGCATTTCTTCTGCAATCTTTGGAACTTCATCCGCTATTTCCCTTTTCTGTTGGTTTGGAACTTCATCTATTTTCTGCAAAGATGAAGACAGGCTTGTGATTTTAGGAATTACTAGTGACTTTAGAAGAATTTGTGTCCATTACTTCTGAAAAAAAAATGCAAGATGATGATACCAAAGTAAACTCTTACCTTTGTTTCGTCTTGTGTCTCGCTGATAGAAGACAAGTTTACGATCTCCCGAGTCTCGGGTTTTGGTTTTTCTGCCGGATCATCAGTGTTCTTCGTACTGTTGAAACTTTCATGTGTTGCTTCCTTCTGCAAAAAGAACATGGTTTCTTCACTATTATTATCTGCAGGTATCGTTTAGATATAAATGATTGTGGAAACAAACAAAAAAGTCAAACCTCTTCTTCTCTTGTATCTTCCTTAATAGCAGTTATGGTATCTGTTTGCTTACTATCTTCTTGATAGATTTCTTTTGTTGCTTTGTCATCAATCTTTTCAGACACGTTGTTGTTCTGCATTATAAAAAAGTTTGGTTAGCAACACATAGAACCATAGTATCTACGTTACCAAAAACACTTATCTTTCTATGCTCTAAAATATTACCTCTTCTTTGGAAACTCCATGTTTGATTGCATCTTCCAGCTCTGTCTTCACATAATCATCGCCCTTCTTCTCCTCTATTAAGCCCTTTTGTGCTTCAACTGGATCATGAACTTCTAGTTTGACATTTGTACCAATATCTTCCTGAACATATGTGAGATCATTAGACTTCTTCTCTTGTTCAGTTATCTCTTTATCTTTCGGAGGAGCTTGAAAGTCATTGGACTGATCTTCAACCTGATTGGGAGATTGATGTGGCTGAAGGAGTTCACTTGGTTTCTCCTTGAGTGCTTGAGTTTCAATATGTTCTTCATTTGGTTCATGCTCAGCTTCGCTAGCTTTCCTTATGGCTCCCACTGGATCAGCGATTTGCTTCTCAGATGTGACTACTTCGTTGATCTCTTCGTCATTCCTCAACACACTGTGAGGTTCTTCCTCTTTCTCTACTTGCAGCGTAGCAAAATCATGACCAGCTCCAAGCTCACTCACATCTTCTTGATCTTTCTTCACTTCTGATGAGAATGTATCTTCGCTATCCCTTTTGGCAGACAGGCCTATAAGCTTCTCATCTTGTACCTCTTCGTCCTTCTTTTCCTCTTTGATATCAACAATGTCTTCTTTAACAGTTTCATGAGTCTCTTCCTTCTGCTCCTTCGTAGAGATTTCAAGATCTCCGTGATGCTCTTCTTGTAGACTTGTCTCCTCTGTTATTGAAGCGTTAACATCTTCTTTAGCCTTTCCTTCTACTTGATTTTCATTAGAAATCACATGCTCTAGCTCCTTAGAAATCAAGGGAGAAGATGAATTTTTCTCACCAAGTAGCACTTCTGCTGTCAGTGAACGATCAGCTGGAGTTTCTTCCCCACACTCTGCAATCTCCTTAGTTTCTTCTTTTAATTTCTCTTTGAGAATAACCTCAAACTCGCTGCTTATGCCATCTTGTACCTTTCCCTCTTGTTCATGTTCCTCTTGAAGCTTGAGTTCTTCTACAGGAAGAGATTTCCCTGCAAGACCATTTTCTTCCTGGATTTTTCCGGTTTCTCCACTTTCACCTTGTTGTAACATGTTTGCTTCTATGATCTCAGAAGCTGGGGATTCCTCTGTTTCTTTCTTATCCTGTTTTTCAAAATCAGTAACAAGATTCTTCTGCAGGGTTTCTGGTTCTGCCTTGAAAGAATGCAAATCTTTCCCACTTGATTCAGACTCAGCATCACCTATCTTTTGTACTTGTTCAGCTGGCTCTGTTATGATGTTCTCTCCCAATGGTTCAGAGTCATTGATTTCTCTCTCAGTCTCTAAGGTATTTTGAAGTTCTTGCAAGATTCCAATAACTGGAAGAGTTGAACTAGTCTCATCTTCATGCTCTGCCTCTCCTGTTTCCTGTGAGAAAGTAGAATCTTGATCTTTAGTTGAAGTCTCAATCTGATCATCAGATTTTTCTCTTATTTTTGTTTCTGGTTCTTCTAGTTTCGTTTCTCCTTCACTCTCTCCTGTTTCTGCAGAAACATGTTGTTCCTCTTGTGTGTCACCTGCACAATCACCTTCTTGCACAGTCACTTGATCCTCTTCCCCAGAAGCCAACATGGAAATTGGAGCTTCACTGAAAGACTCTCTTGGAACAGTTTCGGTAGGGAGGATTTCTTCTTCTTGTAACTTTTGTGCCTTAGTTTCTTCTTCATGAACCTCCTCAACATACTTTGGAGTTTGGTCATTCAGTTCTGAAACTAATTCAGAAGATGGAATCTGATTTGCCTGTGATGTTTCAACAGGAAGATTCTGATCACTTGTAGCTTCCTTTGTTTCTTCTTCTTCTTCATGAATCTCCTTAACTTGCTTTGAAGTCTGGTCATCATGTTCTGAATGTAAAGTTGCAGTTTGATCGTCCTGTGATGTTTCAACTGGAAGACTCTGATCATCCACAACTTGTAACTTTTGTGATTCCTTTGTTTCTTCTTCACGAATCTCCTCAATCTGCTTTGGAATCTGGTCTTCTAGTTCTGAAACAAAGGATGGACTTTGATATGCTTCACCTAATGATTCTCTTGGAACAGTTTCGGTAGGAAGGGTTTCTTCTTCTTGTAACTTGTGTGCCTTTGCTTCTTCATGAGTCTCCTCAACTTGCTTTGAAGTCTGCTCTTCATGTTCTGAAACTAAGGATGGAGTCTCGTCTTCTTGTGATGTTTCAACTTGAAGACTTCGGTCACTCATAGCTTCTACCTTGTGTGATTCCTTAGTTTCTTCTTCTTCTTCATGAATCTCCTCAATTTGCTTTGAAATTTTCTCTTCTAGCTCTGAAACAAAGGATGGAGTCTGAGATGTCTCTGATGTTTCAATGGCTACATCGTGATCACCCTTAGCTTCTTCTACTTCGATGGTCTCAGAAATTTCCTGGCTCTTATTTTCTTCTGACTCCTCTGGCTTTGGAGCTTCAAGATTCTCAAGCTCTTCTTGTTTGATGCATACATTTTCTGATGTCTTTGCAATCAAAATCTCATCATCACTTTTCTCAGAAGAAACAACATGTTCATCCAGATTTTTAATTTCAAGCTCCTTTGTTTTTGCTTCTCTTTTTTCTATAGCACTGAAATCTGCATGCTCTTCTCTGGAGGATTCCTTGTTGACCTGTTCTTCCTCTTCAGTCAAAGAAGTTCCAAGATCTCTTGTATGCTCTTCTAGTGCAACCGTTGCTTCTTTTGTCTCTACAGCTTTAGAAGTGTCCTCTTGTCTCTCGTGGCTTTCTGTTGCATCGTCTTCTCTTTCTATTTGGAGCGCCACAACATCAGAGAGAGCCTCTTGTGGGATGTTTTCACTAGAAGGAAGTGTTTCTGCTTTTGTCTCTTCAACTTCTTTTATTTCCCCTTCAAGAATCTCTTTGAGTTGCTTTGGCTTCTGTTCTTCAATTTCTGCAACCAATTCAGAGGATTCTGTTCCATATGATGTAGGTTCTTCAATGGGAAGACTCAGATCTTCTGTTTCAGAAATTTCAAGACCTTTCTCGCTCATATCTCTCATCAGTTCTGTAACATTCTCCATTTTATCTTCTATCTTTTCGGCTTCTGCAACAGTCTCGTGTTCCTCTTGAAGTGATGCAGATGAAACTTGTATTACTTCATCAGATTTTTCTTCCACAGGAGTCTGATGTGCATTAGTTTCTTCTCCACTTGCTGATTCATGCTTCTGTAACTTTGTTTCTTCTTCTTGCTCATTTGATGGGCATGATTCTTCTTCCTGTGATTTTACTCCGAGATCAGTACTTTCTATTACTGAAACTGTATCTTCTTTTGCATCTAACCCATTAGAACCTTCCTCTTGACTTTCTTGTTGCAGTTTTACTTCTTCGATCTTCTCATTAACGGTTTTACTTTTTTCCTCTGATATTTCAGAAGGAGATTCAAGGGATGGCTTCTGCATCTTCTCAGCTGATTCTCCAGATTGTACATCAAGAAGATTCTCATCCTTGTCCTGAGTGCTCTCATCTTGAACGATCTCCTTAGGTTTGACCTCAACAGATTCTTCTCTTCCCTGGCTCTCACCAAATTCTTCTGCTTCAACACCAGAAGCTCTCGCCTGTTGAGATTTAAAATAAAGAAATTTCAAGGAATGCAGAAAATTCAAATAAGGAAACATGTGAAAAGGTAAAGAGGTTTCCATTATAAGAAATGAAGTTTATGAGTAGAAGTAGAAGCTTGTAAAACTAAACTTGAGTTAGCTCTAGAGTAACAAAAGTAGTTTTGGCCTTACCATAAACTCAAGAAAGTCACAATGAAATTCTTAATTGCAGGTTTCTTGATCTCATCATCAATATCACACACAAAAAGAAATAACAATATGTATATAGAGATTGTATCCTTACCTCGTCAGATAAAACGACGGTCTTAACCGTCTCTGTCTCCTCTTGTTCTTTATCCTCTTTCAGGTCCAGACTCGGTTCTGTGTCTTCTCTTGTCACTTGGCTTTCTTCTTCTCCACCTATTGGGCTATGCACTGCCTCTGTCTCATTAATTGTCGTCTCCAAAGTCTTTAAGACTGCAGTTTCTGGGACTGTTGAAGTATCTAAAGCCTCAGCTTCAGTTACAGTGGTCTCACCTTGTTGCGTGTCTCTCGCTGTTGTCTCCTCATCTCCTTTCTTTGCCTCTGCAGTCAAAGTTTCATTATCAATTTTCTCCGAGAACACTAGCAAGCTTTGAGAATCAACATGTTCATCCAGTTTATCATCTTCAGATTCATTTGCTTTTGTTTCCCTCTCTTCTGTTGAAGTGATCTTTTCCTGCTCATCGTTGACTTGTTCCTTCGCCTGAGTCTGATCCTCCTTAACATTATCATCTTCTTCTATCTTCTCGGAAACAGTTTCTTGTTCTTGTTCCTCTGAATAAGTCGGCAGTGAGCTATGAGGTTCTGCTATTTCGAGAGGCTCAGGACTTTTCTGGATTTTTTCTGCTACTTGTTCTTCCTCATTCGCTTTTATGTCTTCAAGCTTTTCAGCGTCAACAACGATCTCACTTTCTCGTTCCTCTGATGGTGATGCAGATGAAACTTGTATAACTTCATCAGATTTTTCTTCCACAGGACTATGCTGGTCATTAGTAACTTCATTAGTTGGTTCATACTTCTCTGTTTGCTCTTTCTCCAGCTTCGTTTCTTTGGGCAAGCATGATTCTTCTTCCTGGATTTTTACTCCAAGCTCACTGCTTTCTGGTACTGAAACTGTCTCTTGTTTTGTCTCTAATCCAGAGAAAGCTTTCTCTTGACCTTTTTGATGCAGTGTTACTTCTTCTTCCTTTTGTTTTTCTTCGATCTTCTCATCTACGCTTGTGCTTTCCTCAGATGAGTCTAGGCCTCTGTGTACTCCAGATGGTACATCAAGAAGATTATCATGTTTATCCTCAGTGCTTTCTTCTTGAACCGTCTCCTTTGATTTGACCTCAACAGGTTCTTCTCTTCCTTGGCTCTCATCTTTGATCTCTAAAGTACAAGGTTCGGTATGTTCACCAAATTCTTCTCCTTGAGCATCAGAAGATCTCACCTGTTGATTGAAAGAAACAAGATTTAAGGAATGTTAAAGAAGACATGAGAGAAGCAAAAGAATCATAAGCGTGTAAAGTAAGCTTGAGCTAACTCTCTGTAGTGACGAGAGTAGTTTTGTTCTCCATTGACCAATGCAATAAACTCATGCCATTCTATTGCTAACGTCAAAGTTTCAGTTCGTTATGTCTTTGATCTAACCTCATCATCAATAACACACAGAAAAAAAGAACCAACACATGAGAAAATCAATATCTATGGAGATTATATATCTTTACCTCATCAGATAAAATGACTGTCTTCACCATCTCTGTTTCCTCTTTTCCTTTATCCGCTTTCATGTCCAAACTCGGTTCTGTCTCTTGGCTAGTCGGTGTCTCATTAGATGTGCTCTCGAAAGTCTCCAAGATTTGAGGTTCTTGGACTGTTGAAGTGTTTACAGCCTCAGCTTCAGTTACAAGGGCCTCAATCTGTGGCATCTCTCTCACCAACACATGTTCATGCTCCTCAGTATCTATTGAAGCTCTCGATTCAATGTTGTCTTCTTGTATTGTCGGCGTTTCGATTACTGTGGTACTTTCTTGCACCTGCACGGAAAAGGGATAAACAGTTGATAATCTTATCTGAAACATGTTTTGTTTAAATCTGATATTCATTTTTGAGGAACTAAGGAAAAACCTCTTCTATTTTGGGGGTTATGTCATCTTTTTCTTTATCTCCAGTCACCTCATGTGAGATTGTCTCTGCATCATCTGAGTTTTTGATTGCTTCCAATGGTTCTGCATTCTCGCCCTGATGATCATCTTCTGGAGCTGTTTCATTTAAAATGTTCTCATTGTTCTTAGAGATTTCTTCATTGAGTTTCACAGGTTCGGTATCAACACTTTCAACAGTCTCAAGAGTTCTCTGGATCTTGTCTGCTACTTGTTCTTCCTCAACTTCCCGTTCTTCTGAAGGTGATGCAGATGAAACTTGTATTCCTTCATCAGATTTTTCTTCCAAAAGACTTGCTGGTTCATTAACAACTTCTTCATTAGCTGGTTCAGGCTTTTCTATTTGTTCTTTCTCTATTGTCGTTTCCTTTTCTTGCTCATTTCGTAGAGATGATTCTTCTTGCGGAGGAGTCAGATCAATGACACTCCTTTCTTCTTGGACTTTTTCTCCAAGCTCACTACTTACTGGTAGTGAAACTGTCTCTTGTCTTGTCTCTAATTCATAGGAACCTTCTTGATGCGGTGTTCCTACTTCTTCTGGTTTTTCTTCAATCTTACTATCTACGGCGTTGCTTGTTTCCTCTGATACTTCAGAAGGAGACTCAAGAGATTGCTTCTCCATCAGCTCAACTGTTTCTACATCAAGATGAGCGGCCAGCTTTTCAACAGGGCTTTCCTCTGTTTCATCGGCTCTGTTTCGATCAATTTGCTCTGCCTCAGGCTCAATCGAGTCTAGGCCTCTCTGTTCCTCCATGGTTTGAGTTCCATCAGATTGATCTACCTTTGTATTTTCATCATTCACCTCCTCTTTATCCACCCTCAACGCAAGATCTGATGGAATTTGTTCAAGTCTCTCTGTTTCCTCTGGTTCTGTATTCTTTTTAAGGTCCATTATCGGCTCTATATCTTCTTTGGTCTCCAAAGACTCAGCTTCATTTACAAAGATCTCACCTTGTGGCATGTTTCTCCTCAGAACATGTTCACCTTCTTCAGTATCTTTGGAGCTTTGATCTTCTTCTTCCTTCAGTTCTGGTGAGGTTTTCAGCGGTTCGATTACGGTAATACTTTCTTGCACCTGCACACAAAAGGATAAATAGTGCTTAATAAGTTTTCTGAAACATGTTTTTCCAAATCTGATCTTTGGCTTTGATAAATTAAGATAAAACCTCTTCTGTTTTTCAGGTTTAATATAAATTAAGACAAAAATAGTTATGCCCTTAACAAATATAACAAACTCAAGCCATTGACTAATTAACTTCTAATTTAAGATTCTTAATATCTATGAAGATCGTATCCTTACCTCATCAGGTATGACTGCCTTTACTGCCTCTGCTTCCCGGTTCAGGTCCAAACTCGGTTCTGCATCTGTTTCATCAGTTTTGGTCTCCAAAGTCTTCAAGACTGCAGATTCTTGTACTGTTGAAGTATCTACAGTCTCAGCTTCTGTTACAATGATCTCACCTTGTGAGATGTCTCTCACCAACACATGTTCATATTCTTCATTATCCTTTGAAGCTTTAGATTCAATGTCATCTCCTTGTATTGTCGGCGTTTTGGTTACCGTAGGACTTTCTTGCACCTGCACATAAAAAAGTAACACAGTGTTAATTAAGACAAAAATAGCTTTTTTCCTTAACAAATATAACAAACTCAAGCCATTCACTAATTAACTTCTAATTTAAGATTCTTAATATCTATGAAGATCATATCCTTACCTCATCACATGATATGACGGTCTTAACCAAACTCGGTTCTGCATCTGTTTCATCTGTTTTTGTCTCCAAAGTCTTCAAGACTGCAGATTCTTGTACCGCTGAAGTATCTACAGTCTCATCTTCAGTTAAAAGGATCTCACCTTGTGGTATGTCTCTTACCAACACATGTTCATGTTCCTCAATATCTTTTGAAGCTTTCGATTCAAGGTCCTCTCCATTTACTGTCGGCGTTTGGATGACCGTAAGACTTTCTTGCACCTGCACAGAAAATGATAAGACAGTGTTAACTAAGCTGTCTGAAACACGTTCTGCTCAATTCTCATCTTCTCCTTTGAAGGATCAAGACAAAACCTCTTCTTTTTCTCTGTCTACAGTAACTTCACGTGAGATTTGCTCTGAATCGTCTGAGTTCTTGATTGCTTCCACTGGCTCTGCTGCAACCTCCCTCTGATGATCATCTCCTTTCAAGATTTCAGATTCATGAGATGCAGTTTCTTCACTATTATCGATCTTTACCGTCTCTGTTTGCTCTTTCTCTATCGAATCCACAATCGGTTCTGTTTCTGTTTTCATCTCTTCCCTTTCTTCTTCTTTCTCCGCTTCAAGAAGGACTCTTTCTGTAGTTTCAACATCATGTACTGATTCACCGTTTGTTGTGGTTTCTTCTTCTGGAGCTGTTTCCTTCACAGTGCTCTCACTGTTCCTCGAGATTTCTTCTGCTGAAACCGTTGCATTGTGCTTAGCCTCTGTTCCTATTACAGAGGTCTCAGCAGTTCTTGAATCTTCTTCTTGTATTACTTCATCAGTCTTTATTGGTATCTCTTCATGGGCCTGCAACAGAGTACGCTTTCTTAGTTCCGCAGATAGAGAACACGGAAGAGAAGAACATATATCTAAAAACATACCGAGTCTAAGCTCTTCTCTATATCCCCTTCACTGGATTTTACAGGTGTGGTATCAATCAATACCTTAGAAATTGCACCTATCTCCTCTTCTTGTTTTGGTGTGTGTGTGGTTTGTGTTTGATCTTCTTCTACTACCGGTTTTTCTACACTTACCTGCACAAAACAGAAAACTAATTCACTCTTTATCTCACTGAGTTTTGAGCATCTCTCATGTTTAAGCTGCAAGAAACGTAAATGTTTTTTAAAAGATACCTCTTCTGATTTTTGGGTAGTGTCATCTTCTTTCGCCTTCTCTAAAGTCACATCCTCACTTAAGATTATCTTCGCATCATCGTCTGTGTTTTTGTTGAAGCTTTCAGGTTCATCTCTGTCTGTCTCTTTAGCTTTCTCTTTAGCGTCTACAATCGAAACTGTCTTCGCTTCTCCTTTTTCACGTTCTGATTCTACGGTTTCTTTATTCCCTGATCATATAGAACAGATTTTAGTTACAAACTTTCATTGCTTTTCAAGAACTTTGAAACATTCTGAATATGTAACAGTTTCTTGCTTCATTACCTGAACCATTTACAAGCTCTGCAACATCTGCTTCTTTCGAAATAATAGTGTTTCTGCAATCGCCACTTGTGATCTCATCATCAAGAACAGTACTCAAGTTTACTTTATCTGCTTCCATGGATGAGTTGTCAAGTATTACTCCTGCAGGAGCTTCTTCAACACTCGTCTGTTTATAAGAAACATGTTAGTAATTCAAAAACGTAGATTCGTCAAAGTCAGAAAAAAATATATTGAATCAACTTTCAAAAAAAACTTTTTAAAAAATAAACTTATCAACTTTTCAGATATGATTATTTCTTAGACATACAAGTCCTTGTAAGATCTAACGTTTTATTTGTGTTAAAAAAAAAAAAAGTGTTCTAAAATACAGAATCTGTAGGTATAGAGTAAAACAGAACACAGATTTACAAAATATAGTTTTCGAGTTCTCTAATATAATTCTAAAGGCTTTTAATCATCAGGCTGCAAAAAAAAAGGTAGACAAAACAAAAAAAACACACTTTTTATTTATATTAAACTTACTGATCAGTGATTACCCAATTAGCAAAGCAAAGATCTAGCCTACTTGTAAAATCAAAATTTTGAAAGTGGGAGAGGATATATATATATATATCTTATACATATATATGTATCATAATCATCATCATCATACCTTTGTAAACACTGGTTCTTGGATGAGGACAACTCCAGTTTCCATCTTTCATGCAGGGAAGAGTCTCTGAATCTGAGAGAAGCAATAATTTGGAGGTTTAGGGTTTGAACAGTTGTTTTCTCTGCAAGAAACCTACTGTAAGAAGCGATTCTGAATCACCCAGATCACACTATATGCATATGAAAATAACAGATATATAAAATATATGATCACTTGATATATATATAAAATGGATTTGAAGTCAGTGAGAAGACAGGTAGATGATGAATAGTGACAAAACTGAGCACATTTGTTCAATGGGTTGGCTGAGTTGGCTTTTAGATTAATCTTTTGTGGGCCTTTTGAATTGATCATACCACATGCAATTGGTAGGATCCTCAATTACAGCTTTTTTATTCTCTGAAAGGCAATCACAAAATTGAACAGTCATAAAATAGTATTTTCGAAACGAAAAGTTATCATATTTATTATTTAGCATTGTGTATTATCATCAGACAAAATACATAAAATATTTATTTTGGAGAAAAGGTATTGTAAATTGTAGCATGATAACTATCATAACAAAAGAAAAAATTAACAAAAATTTGTAATTTGTGACTGTTATCGCGGTTTTTTCTAGTTTTGAAAGTTGATAATTAAATGTTTATAATAGATCTAACATCTAACCAAAGTATGTAAAATTAAGTCCTTTTTCATATGTAAAATTGTGAACATATGATGGTTTTAATATTCCATAAACTAAAAAGATAATCCAAATTCAGCAACAAAATAAAAGGATATATCAGCACAATAATAACACAAAAGTCTCTCCATAGCTTGACACCTAAGCTTTTTAAAACTTTATAAACATGACACCTCAGCAAAAATAATCACCAATCAAAACATTTTATTAATACATATCATCTACTTATTTTAAATTTTAAACTTAAACTCATTAAAAATCCAAATATTTTTTTATTAATTTTTTGTTTTATTTTTACCAAACTCAAGCCCAAATAATTAATAACAGTAAATAAAAAATCATTATTTTATTTTTTACCAAACTCAGACCCAAATAATAAATAAAAAAAATTAAATTATTTTTTTTTTTTGCCAAAACCAAATCCAAATAATAAATAATAACAAATAAATAATAAACAATTATAGTTATTTGTTTGTTTGACATAAACATATATGATTGAAAAAGTGTAGGCTCAGCATCAACTATGCTTTCATGACAACAACGCAAAAAGTTTTATGTTATAAGAAGCTCACACATCAGCAAAAATTTGAACCGATAAAAACATAACAATTTCTTAGTTTTTGCTCGAAAACATAATTTTATTAGAGATAATGCAATTTTTAGTTTTCACGGGAAATTGTAGTTTATTTGTTTCTGTAAGAAAGCGTGATTTTGGGCTTGACGAGAAAACGATTTTTTTTTTGCAGGAATAGACGATTTCTCAGTTTTTGCAGGAAAAATAAATTTTTCGATTATGGCGGGAAAATACAACTTTTTAGTTTTTGCAGGAAGATAAAATTTTTTAGTTTTTGTTAAAAAAACGTAATTTCTCGGCTTTGGTGGAAAAACACAGGTTCTAGCGGAAAAATGAAATTTTAGGTTTTTGGTTTGACGAGAAAATGAAATTTTTTGTTCTGACGGGAAATGCGATTTCTCGATTTTTGTAAGAAGATGAAATTTCTCTATGCTAAATTTCCAAGTTAAAGTATGTTTACAGTAACCAAAATTTAATTATTTAACTTTAACTAAAATAATATTTTAAGAGTTCAAACATAATTTTCTATTTAGTTCTAAAACAATAGCAATGGTTTTGATATGAATGTTATTGATTATAGTTTTGTAGTTTTAGAAACATATGTTTATAATAAAATATTTGATAAATAAATAAATTTTATTATTCAAAATAATCATATTAATTAATAAATATTTTTTTAAATGGCATTTTGCTTTATATAGTTACAACAGAGGATCAAGTGGTAATTTATTGGAGAAAATAAATTACATTTGCCATTAGCATGAAGATTAAAAATGTATTGTTTTATTCTTATATATTTTATTTCTATATATACATTTATAATTAGTTAGCTAACTAAATTTAATAGTAAATTATAATTTTGAAAAAAAAATAATAAAAAATATATAATGTTTATTCAAATTTAAAATATATAAATACATAGTTTAAGCTAATAAAAAATAAATATAATATTTATTTATATTATAAAAATAATTTTATTATATTAAAAATATATACAAAATTTAGAAAAATATCCCACAATATAATGCTGATAAATATCTAGTATATCCTAAGTCCTATGACTACTACATCAAGAAATTTTCGAAAATTTGAACTAGTTGTTTCTTACGATGGCCAACAAAAGATAACTTGCAAAAATTTCTCTTTATGTCTTGATAAGACATACGTCTCATATGTGATTAAAAAAGATCTCCTGATTTAGATAAATGTTGAATGAAAAATAGTATTCCTTTTAGTAATTAACTGTACAAACAATTCATTTGAAACCTGACACTTCTCTGAGTTCTCTCTGTTAGAGGAAATGATAAAGATGGATACATCTCTAATCTCTTTCAAGGAAATGAGAAAATTAATCTAGTATTTTGTGTTTGACTTAATTGTGAAAAAATATTCTATATAATTTCTTCAACACTAAAATAGATTTTCACAATTAAGTCAGACACAAAATACTAGATTAATTCAGTTATTTATTACAACTCATGATATTCAGATCAATATTTAAATACAGACAACGAGATCTATACCCGTTGAGTGTGGATCGAATACAAATGTATCCCTAATTTTTAGCATAATCTATGGCATTTATAGTAGAGGATTATGTTTTCCCCCGGAGTAGAGAAAATTATGAAATTTATATTTGTCTTATGATTAGTCTAAACTTAATCAATTCAAATATAGAAATATGAGGGATAGAGTACTTTGTGATTAACCTGTCTCTACTCTCTTTTTCACAATTAATTAACTTCTGCATAAATTATATTCTACATGGTAATAATAAAATTTAGATTAATTATGAATTTATGATCATGTCTCTTTTTTTTTGAAATAGATTTAGTTATGTTCATGTCTTCTTTTCTAAAAGAAACTGTAAGGTAGCAATAATTCTTACCATGTTAGTGGATTCTTCTGCAAATGTTTATAGTAGAGGATTATTTTTCCCCCGGAGTAGAGAAAATTATAAAATGTATATTTTATCTTGTGATTAGTCTAAACACAATCAATTCAAATTTAGAAATATGAGGAATAAAGTGTTTTGTGATTAAACTGTCTGTTCTTTTTTCTTTTCTTTTCACAATTAAATAAGTTCTGCATAAATTATATTCTACACGGTAATAACAAAAATTAGATTGCTTATGATCATCTCTTCTTTTCTAAAAGAAACTGTAAGGTAGCAATAATTGTAAATTAAATCACATCATCATCATTGATCACAACGCTAGTGGATTCTTCTGCAGATGTTAATAAGACATCATCCATTTCAATTTCAAAAAAGCTGGCCGCCATTAGGAGGACCGACCCAATTATCCTCAACTTGTATAATACATGCTTTTCTAGATTTATATAATATATGTTCACTGCTAATGTTCTTATTTATCAATGCTTTGAAAGTCCATATAAAAATGTAACATGTACCTAATACTAAAAAATATAATTTGCCGACAAATGAAGTAATTAATATGCAGATGAAACTAAGAAGTTTTTTTGAACCGGATTACGCCTCCGGTCTCTATCGTCCACAAATATTTTGTGTAGAATTTTTTCTAAATGTTAACCTTTAATTTTTTTTCTAAATCTTAAGTAAATTTCTGATATAAATTTTTTTGATCACTTAGATAGATCGTTAGAGCAATTAGAAAGAAAAATTACTAAACGTCCAAATTTAATTTGTCACCCATTCTTTACTTTGTTTGTAAGCAATAGAGAGGATGTTCACACCAATAATATTATTATACAACGTACGTATGCATGCAAGTTTCAAAAATCATATCGGCTTTTCCGGTACTTAATAGTTTGTGTTTTTCATTTCTCAAAAATATTTTTGTATAATAAACTAAATTGAATATCTGGATCACTATTGGAATGGTGCAATCATACCCTTCGTCTCAGTCTTAAGAATGTTCATTTAAAGCAGTGTTCTGTTTATTTTGTCATTTTGTGTGTGTTTGGTCAGTACCCAGCAATGATGTTTTAATAAAAGTAATGCCACAAGAACTACATTTTTATTTTCTTTTTAACAATTAAACTACTGATTTGTCCAGCAAAACTAATTGTCTAATTCCTTAAAAACTTTTTTTTTGTGCAACTTAGAAACTATTGTTTATATTACATGTTTCTTCTTTGTTCAAATCGTTTTAGATGTGATGTAGTACTCGAATTTTTTAGGGTGGCAATTTGATGAGTCTGACGGCATTGACACAAATCACTATATTATGAGTCAGATTGGTATGTCAGATGAATAACAAAATAGCAGAATAACTGAAAAATTATTAGCATAATGAATTAAACTGAATAATATTTTAGCTGAATAATTGTGAAATGTTGGAAATCTATTTTTAGTAGATTAATCACGTTTTGTTTTTTAGTTATATTTTTAACATGCTAGCGGAATCACGTTTCAAAAACATAAAAAACGTAAAAATGTGAAAACGTGATAAATAACATGAATGGTAAAAAATAACAGAATCAAGTTTCCAAAACGTGAAAACGTGAAAAAGCTGCATACCATTCAAATTGTATTTAATTTATATGTAACCTTAATATATATATTATATATGGTATAACTGAAAATTTAATTGATATGTATGCAAATTGGTAGAAAGAGGTTCCAATCAAACCGGCCAAACCGAAAACTATTGTCCTTACGTCGCCGGCCCAAAGAAGATTATTGAAGATAATTCCAATTTTGCTTTTGCCAATCTACCATTAATAAATTTAAGGTAGTGATAACAATTGGGGTGATAAAGGCGTGCAAATTAATATACAATGTGGAACATGCTTTGGTGTGATGTA